TGACCCTAGTGAGGATTAAGGTGTAGAGATGATGGATGGATGGATTCTGAAAAAGACTGATGCTCAAAATTGACCCCCTCAACACATAAACAAACCTCCATAATTACACAAATACAAGGTTGATTCTGTGCAACCACATGAACGGGCAGAAAACACCAGCAAAGATTCCCAAAAACTCAGTATGGTGTAATGAAGACAGGAGAAGGTCACCATGTATTCACCTTTATTGCTTTGCAACAATCAGCCATGACAGAGGAGTCATCGTTTCAAGCCAACAGCAGGATGTGCTTCACTGATGCCTGCACACCAGAACAAATGTGGCGACGGAGGATCAACGCTCCTCTTTGTTACCGATACGGTTTGTTCAAATTCCGACTGACGATGGAAAAAGTGGGTCTTACGGATCAGGATAAATAAATCAGAAGTGCTCGGTCGGTGGATTCTCACCACCACATCTTAGTGTGATACGTGTGGGGAAACAACCACATGGCTGGATTTTTCTATTTTTATTTTTAAATTTCTTACTAAATCAATAAATTAATATAGATGTCACTTCATTTATGATGTCGACAGCACAACACTTTGACACACACCGATCGTTCGAAAGAAGAAACAGTACCTCAATATCGATTACAGAGCGTTTATGCTGTGAGCAAACACTAGAGCTGTGACGGCAGAACACACACACAGACGAACAGCGTTCAGAGTCCGTAAACGGAAGATAAATCGGAACTACATCGCTTTGAGTCGGTGGCTCGGGCTACAACGTGGAGCAACACTACGACAGACAGAAGCCTCTGCGAAAACAATAAACCGCTGGAACATAACGATGGTCTGTCTTTGGCGTTGGCGTGCCATCACATGTAGCCGTACATCTGGAAATCATCGGTACAAGACTCGCACATAAAGAGCTTCGACAAGGCACGTAAGCTATTCGTCAGTCACTGGAGCTACACACAGACAGAGAAAAGATGAAACCGTTTCACGAATGACTCTTTGCCTGAATACGAGCTGAGTTCAGGAGTCCATACGGTGCGTGGTATGGCCTACTTATTGCTAAAACAGGACTGCACTTAGCAAAATAAGAACAACTTCCTAGAATATAATAGTTGTTTTTTTTTTTTTTTTTTTTTTTTTAATCGAACGATGTACCACTAATTCTTTCAGAAGAATTTCACCTTTAACGGAGCATCGCTGTCAGTGTGGCATCGAGTGAACAATTAAGAAAAAATCGCAGCACTGCCACGTAGCAGAGGTCAAGTAGGACGAGTAATAATAATAATGCACCTCCCGAGTTTCTGGAAATGAATCCTGCTGTTAACATGTTGTGTACCGATTATAATGTCCATGTTTATTAAAAATACATCCATTGTAATGAAGCCGTGTGGTTTTGGAGAAGCTTTCACACCATCACAAACACTGACTCCCTTACAGATGTACAGGCTGGAGGAGATCGTACGAAACGTGGAGGAAACATCTCTGTTTACTGTCTCTGCTGTGCAAAGTCTGGTCCGGACACATTGAGATCAGAGCACACACTGCTCAAACACCATCACCGAGTCGAAATTATTATGAATGAAAAACGGGAACAGAAGTGAGATTTAGTCCTGATTGAATTCAAAGTGGAACCTTTCTCCCTGACGCAGCTGATATTGTAAGATGTTAAAGGTGAATCAGACGAGCTTTGAAGTGAAGCTCTACGATTGTTCCGCTTGGCCTCATTCCCTCCAGGTGCATTGTCAACCCAAGGCCTTCGCATATCCACGAGCAGGAAGTTCGAACTGATCTGTGAAAGCAGTTTACTTCCGTTGCTGCTGAAGCAAAGAATAAATGTACCGGATGTTGGATTATAGGTCATCTCTAATGAAACTGGTCACTGTCACTTTGATTTCTGTGTACCGATGCTGCACATTCATTTATATTGTTAGAGCAAAAAGTAATGAGGCATAAGGACACTTAGGGAAACATCACATGTCCACACTATCCTCAGAGGTTTAATTAGCCAAATAAGTTAAAGATAAAAGTGTTGTGTCCATGAAGAAACTTCAAATCCATCAGTAGGAGAGATGATACAGGTAGAACAGGATGTCTGTGCAGCAGTGTGTAACGTGGAGCTTTGCTGCCACCTTTTGTCTTCACCATGAAATACTCCTCAGGTTTGGTATAAACTGGACAGAACATCATGTCGATACACTGATCTGGGAACGTTTCCCAAACGTTTTGACAGTCACGGCAGAAGAAGTATAAGTTTCATTGCAAAATCAAAGTGAAAGTGGAAAAANCAAATTATCTTTATATCTCCTCCCACACACACACACACACACACACTCACACACACTCAACAACATTAACACAGACAGTATAAAAACAGCCGGGGTCACAAATGTTCTCTTTTTTTTTTTTTTTTTAAACTTTGCACCTCACTATATTCTATGATTTTAAAATAGTTGCGATGAGAGGGACACGGGTTAATTATCGCCGCCTCGTGACCAGAAATCAGCCGCCCGAGTTGTTTAACTGACATTTAAACAACCAATGGCTCCATAAATACTGTGGGAGGAGGAGCGACCTTTTTTATTAACACGCTAGAATCCGCTTTAGGTAAGAAACTATACTGGCAAAGTGCTTCCTGTACAGTACAGACGTCATATGGCCTCTGAAGTAGGTTTTCTATCATATTACAAATGAACACAGTGCACATACATACATACATATATATCATGATATTTCTATAAGATCACATATGAACAGTGAAGTTTACATGAACTTTTTTCGAGCAGCAATATCAATACTGAGTGTTTTTGTTTTTTTTCCCCCTGGAGGCAGGAGAGATGATTCATGGATCCAACGAGGATGTCGGCAGTATTAGTGTGGCGGCGGCGTCGTGTAGCGTCTGTCTGAATGTACCTCTGTTTTGGTTTGTCGTTTAATGTGCCAGAACTAATAGAAAAAATATAATCGTCTGACACCGACGGTACCTGAATGGCTTTAATCAAATGAGTTTTCAAGCTGGTGTAGTTTTAGTGTGAGGTCTTAAAAACGCTGAAACGAACGATGCAGCTCACGGCGTATGAGCTGAAGGACCGAAATAAACCGTACAGTACTGAGACCAGCTAAAAACAATAAAACTGAACTTAAAATGTACAGACTCCCACCGTGAGGCCTTCCTTTGGCATCTGTGGTTTAAATAACAAATGAACAGAAGTTGCTAGATGAGAGGATTTCCCAAACAGTGAGCGTCGGTGGGCAGTAACAGCAAAATTCCTTCGTTTCGTGGAGATGTTTGCTCAACAGTGCAGCTTGGCAGCCGTTTGTACGCGTGCTGCACGTGTAGGACTTCCGAGACCGGGGTGGACTCGCGGCCTCGGGGGAGCTCGCCCGCCGCCCTCGAGGAAAAAGGGAGCTCTGCAGACAGGTTGTGCTGCTCCAGTTCAGCGTCCCCCCATCGGCGGGGTAGAGAGTTGTGGAGGAGGGGGGGGGAGGAATCAGGAAGGAGGGACGGCCTTCCCCTGATCACAGGAAGGTCTCGGCGGTGGAGCCTCCTCCGGGCGAGTCCGGGCTGACGTCCACCCTGACGCAGGCCACCTTCTCCTGGCTGGTCAGAGGAAGAAACAGAGACGGGATGAGCACCGGTGCAGGTTTATGGGAGCGTGCAGAACAACTGCAAACGTGTGATATCTCATCAGACAGACGAGTTGTAGTACTCCAATTTAATACTGATTAGAGCAACACTTCACCACCCACAACACGCCTCGACCAGGACGGGGCTGAAGTGAGGACGGTGTTAAAATACAGTTTGTCAGCATACAGTGCTGTGGAAACGTTTGGGCCCTAAAATTAAAGCTTCAAACAGTCATGCAGTGGTGAATTTAACAAAAACCAGAACTAGCTTCGTACTACTTATCTCCAATTAGTAGCTAGTGTAGCCGCCCTTCTTCTGAGTACACCTGCTCACTGTTTGGTTTTTTTTTTTGGGAGTTTTCTCAGTTGCTTCTATCTGTTCTGGGACTCCTCTTTTATATCGCCACTAAAGAAAGCTCTTTTTGATGGTATGTCTGAGGCCAGTGTTGCTGCAGAATGGATGTGTACAGAAGCGCTGAACTGCCACTCCTCAGAAAAAAAAACGGATCAAAACAAGATCTTATCACGTTTTAACAACATCACGTCATAACGAGATCCGTATTTATCTCACTATAACGTGATAAGGTTTCCCGTTGGTCTCGGCAGAGGAGGACTCCTGTGCTCTGGTTGTGAACTGGCACTTGGTCGTTGCCGTGGCAGCTGGCGACACCAAAACAGCCCTGAGCGACGCCCTGCTGCTGCAGTTTCTACGAAATCGCTGTGTAGCAGCAGAGTGCCTCCTCTGGCATCTGGACTCTCACCATGTCTCAACCCAAGCATGAAGCAGAATCTAATCATTCATTCAGTTATCCATCCATCCATTATCTCTACATTGCTTAATCCTCACTAGGGTCATGGGGGGCTGGAGTCCATCCCAGCTGACTCAGGGTGAAGGCAGGTTCACCTGGACAGGTAACCAGTCTATCACAGGGCTACACTTAGAGACAGACAACCAAGCACACTCACATTCACACCTACGGACAATTTAGAATCACCAATTAACCTCAGCATGTCTCTGGACTGTGGGAGGAAGCCGGAGAACCCAGAGAGAACCCACGCTGCACAGGGAGAACATGGAGACTCCACGCAGAAAGATCCCGGGTGTCCTCGCCGGGACATGAACCGGCGACCTTCTAGCTGTGAGGCGACGGTGCTAACCATCGATGTTAGACCGTGATAAATACTATCTCGTTATAATGTGAAATGTTATAACTAGATACTGAGCCTTTTTTTTTTTTTTTTTTGAGGAGTGGCAGTTCCGTAGATGTGAAACCGATCAGATGTCTAAACATTTCCACAACACTGTATGTTAACATTTGATCAAAAATGTAATAAAGTCAAACTAGTACAACTGATTTCATTTTGCTAAACATGTTTCCCTCAAAATACTCAAGTTAGCAGCTAAAGGATGTAAAGGAAGGACATCCAACATTCAACATTGTATTCTCAGAGGTCCTAAACTGTAAAAAGCACTTTGTCAACTTTAAATTAAAGCTTTAAATATTTGATTGCCTCATTTACTACAGTATGAAAATAATCTTGCAGAGTCATAAATCAAGCTTGAGATACAACAATCATCATCAGATCATATTGAAGTAATGGGTGCGGGGCTCTGGAAGACTCCAGGATGTGGCATAGCTACCTTCCGCTACGCTTCACAGGTTGGACACAAGACTCTGCATTCGAGTTCACTGCTTTCCACACTGCGGTTTTGGCCATTTCATCAGAGATATTTACAACCAAGGGGTCAGAATCAGAACTACATGCCAAAATGCAAAACACACACAAACACAAACACAAAGAGAAGACAGGCATGTAGACATGAAGTCAGCGGGACAGGCTTCAAGTGCAGGACAGTTCAAACAGGCACACACAGACATGCACGTAAATCAGAGGTTAAAACAAATCAACGGCACAGAACGTCCGACCAGACAGGCTACAAACAGAACGCTCCGTGTTAACATGTATGGACGAATGCTGGTACTCTGGGCCAAAGGGGTTTGTTGAGTTGACTGTTAGTAAGACGAGATAAACGTGTTTCAACGAGACAAAAAAACATCCTCATCATCACACCTTCAAATCAAAACGTCAACTCACAAAGCAGTGTGTTTTAAAGCCAGTGCTTGGGTTTGTAACGGCTACGGGCTGACAGTCTGGGCCATGCGCTGAGCATCGGTGAGTTAATACGCAGCCATGTGAGTCAGATGTTACGCATCAGACACACACCCCTGCTACCTCTTTTCCATTGGGAGGCTCTCGGTCACTAGTCCTATTCTGTACGATCTGTTCGAGATGGACACGTCAAAATCACCAAGTTAAGAGGCAACATAACACATCAGAAGGTCTGCTGACAGCTCCGGTGTTCTTAGAGCTACCTGGAGATGGAGCTGCCTTCAGAACAGCCGCAAGGAGGAAGTTAAATCTTTGGGGAGTCGTTTACTTTCTTTGGGTCCATAAAGCATTTTAAGGCATCAGTAAAATGAGTATAAAATCGAGACCATAAGATAATATAATCATACTATACAAGACTTCTGGAGTGATGGGAGATACTTAAAACAGAATACAGTTTACGCCTCGCTGAGCATCTGCAATGAAATTCTGCTTTTCATCTCAGAAGTTGACATCAAAGTGCGCTTCAGCACCGCTCACCTCCCTGAGAGCGCTTTCACCGGGATGTTGAGTCGGTTTGAGCCTTCAAAGCTGACCTTCATGCCCATCTCCTCCTCTTCCTGCAGCCTGGACTCTTCCTCCTGGATGGAAACAGAATTAAAATCATACATCACATTTTACCTTATGGCTTTATTCATATCTACATCACCTTTAATATCTGGTTTACTGGGCTGGATTTATGGTCACATCCTAAAACCGTCTGCTACCAGACCGGTGTCTATGTTTATTTTATTTAAATCCAGTAGATTTATTCATAACTTCCTCCCTCTGCCTGCCATAGCGATGCCTGTATGGCCGTTATACTACATGTGCACGGCAGTCAAACCGCACATTTTTCTGGGCAGACTGTAAGTTTGGCCATTTCCATGTCTGCTGTTTACAATCAAACAGCGTAATATGAAAAACATTCACTGTGACGGCACCCACTGTGTTGGAGCATAACAGACCTGACATCTGAGTTTAAGAATGAGCACTACGTGATTTGCAAAGCGCTCTTCAAATAAAGTCAAATGAAGGGTTTGGTGTTTTTTTTTAATATTAAGGTTTAACAGGAAGAAACATAAAGAATAATTTAAAAAATGAGAATGTTTTTGTCAGTTTAGTGCATGACAGCTACAGAAGGAGCTAGAACTAAACATGTGATCTACTCATAATATTTCATACAACAGCTTTGTAGTTTCTAATCTAACTCGTGACTTTCACATCCAAAAAGTAACCCCCCAGTACAAAACAAGTTTTTACCAGCTTTTCACGCGCTTTCTTTTTCTTGTCGTCCTCTTTCTTCTTCTTGCTTTCTGGCATCAAGTCATCCAACCAGCTCAGCTCCCTCTTGGTAAAGAAAAAGTCGAGCAGCTTCCGGATAAAGACCAGCGCCAGAACCTGGAGAGACAGACGAGAAACGGATCGTCAAAGATTCTGTCACACAAAATAAAACACAATAAGAAAAGACGTATTACACAGAATGACCAAATACTATCTAATGCTTCTGCAGCACTCTGAGTGAGCGGGGCTCGATCCGTTTCTATGCTAGTGAGTGAAGTTATGAAATGAATGTCTCTCGTTACCATCATGGGAAACACAACAGCTGCTGCAGAAGCCTTGATGACCCAGAGCAGCACCAAACAGGTGAGCTGCACCAGGGTGAAGATGTGGACCTTCCACAGCGGCACGTAGCGCAGGTAGATCAGATCGGGCTGGTGCTTGGCGGGCATGCCAAACAATTTGATTCTGTCAAAGAACTACAAAGAAAACGAGAGTAAAGAGACTCGGTGAACGGTTTATAAAATGCAAATGAAAAGCGGTGGCAAGAGGGGTGATGAGGAAAGGAGAACATTCAATACATTATTCAGAAGAGGAAACACATTTAACAAAAGCTTTTAAGAATCCTGAATTAGGATCAAAGGTTGGGAACAGCATGAGGCCACCTTATCTTCGCTAACAGCCTGTGACTGGTTTTCTGTTCTGAATAAAAGGGGTGTATTATCTTCAAAGACGGGCAGAGCAGAGCCTTACTTGAATGCCTTTGAGGGACGAGACACCCATGTAGAGAAAGACTCCATACAGGACGGGCATCGGAATAAACTGTCAGGAGCAGGAGAGTATATCACAGGATAAATTATTCAGCTCACAGTACAGGAAAGGAAACACTAACATGGCATTTGACAGGAAACTGAAAACATACGCAGCATGCTGGATGGGTGATAACACAGTGGAGCTACTTGTCATGGAACAAACATGTTGGAGATATTTCGATTACCTGTGCAATGAAACAAAGCCTCAGCTATTTCTACCAGGTCTCACCTTGAGCACTGACGTCATGAACACAGAACAACCCATGAGGACAAAGATCATGAATCCAGTGACCCGCTGCTCCCTGATGCCCAGAAACTTGGGCTGCTCTCCTGGTGCCGAGCAGCCGGACTCCACCTTCAGGCTGTTGACGTGGGAGATGGAGAGGACGGTTGCGGCCACGAACCATGGCAAGCCCATGATGGAGCACACGCCCAGCATTATGGCGACGACCAGCAGGTCCAGGTGATAGCCACAGCCTTTCTGTAGGACACACGGGCAAACAGGAGACATGTAAGTAAGCTTAAAAGCTGTACAAAGTGTGCACAAATCAGGACCAAAAACTAAAAAAATAAACAAGATTCGGGAGCACAGTGGAAGCTTGCAATGCAGCATAGAAATATCTCATTAAAAAAAACAGATTTGGAGCGTTTCTGTGATGTGAACACAGAGAATATGTTGGCTTCAACCATAATTAACGATGACACAAATGGAGAGAGAAGACGAGTGAGAGATGAGAGAGCTACAGGAGTAGGAAGAGCAAAGTTGTTGACAGTTGTTAGACATAAAGAGAGCAAGCTGAAGGTGGAACAAATGAGCCCATCAGTTAAAAGGACAAGTGTTACGACAGATTGGTGACACAGGAAGAGGGTTTAGTTTAAGGTTTTGGCATATTCTGTATTACAAAACTGAATCTGTGCAGTCGAACAGCAACAGTACCGTTTTATATGGCCAACAGCACAGTTATCTCCAGTTGAACAGCAGCATCATGTTTATACTGACTTGTTCAGTCACTTTGGCACATTAGTCAACTGCCACAGTTCTTTTTTTTTTTAAATTTTATTTATTTTTTTTAATTTAAAAAAAATGTATTTGAAGCAAAGAAATGCAATGAAGAATTCAGGTCGGCCCATTCTGATTCTGCAGCATTAGTTGGAGAAAAGAAAATTATGTTTTATACGTGATTACATTTGTACACAAATCAGCATAAATTCTACATGACCTTAAAATATTTGGAATCATTTGCTGGATTTTATTAGCAGCTACACAGCCTACACTGAATATTAAAGAAGGGATCCTGCAGGGAAATTAGAAATGACTTTCTGCATTCTTCCACTTTAGAACAAACAAAAACGATGTGCAGCTCTAAGATAAAACGCTGCCAGAAGCACAGGTCTGACCTTCAGCTTGTGCTCTTTGCGGTTGATGATGACTGCAGTGATCTGCTGGTCCATAAAGATGAGGATGGTGCAGAGCAGGGCAGGAAGTGCCGCCACCAGCAGCGTCCAAACGGGATTTTCTCCCAGTGGGTCCATGAGCCAGCCTCTGTTCTTTGAAGTCGGCTGCAGGGAAAAGGGTGGGCTAAATTTAGCATTTAAGACACAGAACAATTGTTTGAGGATATTTTTCCTACATGATGTGTGTGTGTGTGTGTGTGTGTGTGTGTGTGTGTATATATATATATATATGTGTCTACCTCAAAGCGGTCAGGAACATTCAGTTTAGGAGAGGGGATCCCCATGAGATAGTCCACCAGCACCATGATCATGATGGTTATAAACACAGCAAAGTCGCTGATAGTGGAACGCACCTAAAGGACACACATGTACAAAAGCAACAGGAGTGAGTACAGTCGCGACTCGATGATCCGACACTAAACGTAAAACCCTCTTTCATGTCGGATAGCAAGGCTGTCGGATTGTAAAGACGGAGGTCGAGATACAAGGAGGGCTTGATGCTGGAAGGCTCATTAGTTTTTAATTATTGTTCATAGCTGTTATAATAACTAGTGTATTGTTAGAACACTACACATCGCTGGATTTCAGCCTAACTGACCGGTGAGCTTGTGCACGTTCCGGCCACTTCCACCCCAGGGCAGCGCTCTGACAGGGTGGAAGTGTCCAGAACACACAGGCAGTACTTGGCTGCTGATGCTAGTTTAGTTAGAGGTCTTCTGTTTCCACCATCGGTGGCGGCAGGGGAGTGGCAGATACGCTCCACCGTTACCATCCATGTTTACTTCCATAAACACTGAGCACGCTCGCTGCGTGTGACGTCGTCGTGTCCTCTTCTGCGCATGCGGGACACTTTTGGGTCGTATGAAGTTCACACAGCAGATCACATACAAGTCGCATTTAACTGGAAATGTGAAGGAACTCACAAAGAAATCCTCATTGAGCATCAAGTCCTGCAGTGTGAACGTAGCCAATCTGTGGGATTGTTCTGTCAGATAATACGCTGCTATCCTGATTGGTGACATTAAATGTCATGTCGGAGTCAGTATCCAAGGCTGTCGCTATGTTAAGGCTGTTTTTATGGGTTCTGTTGGTTTTTCCTAAAAACCTGTCGGATAGCAAGGTTTAAGATTATTAAGGGTCGGATTATTGAGTCATGACTGTATACTTAATATGAGCATTTTGTCAATACTTCTTCAATGAATTCTCAAACTGAATATAGAATAGAAGCCACTCCACTACATTCTTACTGTAGGCTACAGTCAAATCAATCACACTTGTGTCGACAGTAAAAGCAGCAACTTAAACAATCCCAGCACCTGCCTACACAGACTGATAACATGCTAGCTGGTACTATGTGGGCGGACGCAGTGAGATCTATTCTTTATATGAGACTGCTCCAGCATACCAGCACAATGTAAACATTTACATAGTGTGAGAAGCTTTTGTCTCTGTCTTCCCACATTTGCATGCACGCAGATGTCCAAAACACCCTAGTCAGAAGAGATGCATAGACGTTATATGTACAATTATTTATGTGTTTCTAAAAGCCACCCAGTGTTGTATAACAGACATAAGGTGCATAATCAGATCTCACCTTGGTGGGAAAGTATCGTTCTGTCTTAAACTGCTTGAGGAATGAAGACAAAAAGAAGGTGGTGAAGAAGAGGATAATGGACCAGAAGAGAACATCTGGGATGTAGGGCCCGTGGTGGCCACAGGCAGGACCCACAAACTCCCCATGGAGCAATTTGCACATCTAGGGAACAAATAGAGTTCAACGTTATCATTGTAATGTGAATGTTTAATTAGCTGTAGCGTCTATAGTCATATTAGTAGCAGTTCAGTCATAGTAGAGGCAGAGGTACATGCATCTGTTTGTGTTTCTGACAAAATGAATTTAAAATGAATCTAAATGAATGAGTGAATAAACATGAATGTGTATAACGATGTAGGATGTCAGTAGCTTGTCTGCTACACACATCCTACAATTGTGACTGGGGCTGTAATTACTGCCTGATACACTAGAGGACACTGTGAGCTCGTCTCACCGAAACGTTCAGGCTGCTCCATGGGATTGAGTCTGGACTGTATCCTGTCCGGTTCCACTTCTGTACCAGCTCGTCTGAGGCGTTGGCTGGTGACGAGCACTGACATCTGGGGACAAGAGAACCAGTACAAAGTCTGTACATTGATCCTACAAAGAACAACATTTAAGTGAAGTGAACTTAAACACAGGCTGCAGGAAAAGTGCTAAAACCATCTGTTTTTAAATAAATAATTATTCGCAAGTGGGTAATTTTCCATTTCAGCTGTGGGGGAGACAGGTACTGGGCACAGCAAGAGCCACTACAATTACAGCTTCAGCAACAAGAGCAGCACATTCCTAATGGGAAACTGTTTATGCGCATAATACACTGCTTTACATAACACTTCAGCGTACAAGGGCACCCTGGCCTGAGGAGTGGAAAAGAAAAGGAGGCGTGCTAGCACTGACTCTGACAGAGTACTGATCTGGTACAAAACTATAAAAGTAGAAAAAAAAATAAAATTAACTTTGTGATTTAACAGATTTATTGCATTACTGTATCGAGCATAAAACCAACAGCTGAAGTTAGCCTTGGCTCTCAGCTACAGTCTAATAGAGATCTATGTTTTTTTTGTAACATCGATTTACAAGAAGAAAAATATAGAAGTAAAACTAAACATGATTTCAGGATTTCCTCAGTAACCCCGTGAACTGAAGTGACTGTTGCTGCACAAGTAGATAATATAAACTCTCACACTTCCATCCATCCATCATCTCTACACCTTAATCCTCACTAGGGTCATGGGGGTTGGAGTCTATCCCAGCTGACTCAGGGTGAAGGCAGGTTCACCTGGACAGGTAACCAGTCTATCACAGGGCTACACTTAGAGACAGACAACCAAGCACATTCACATTCACACCTATGGACAATGTACAATCACCAATTAACCTCAGCATGTTTCGGGACTGTGGGAGGAAGCCAGAGAACCCGGAGAGAACCCACGCTGCACAGGGAGAACATGAAGACTCCACGCAGAAAGATCCCGGGTGTCCTCACCGGGACGCCAACCGGCAACCTTCTAGCTGCGAGGTGCTAACCACTGAGCCACCTTGCAGCCCCCTCTCATACTTCCTAATACAGAATACTGACACTTTTATACAGACAATAATGTGCACAAAAATGTTCTAACAAAATGTATAAATTAACCAATAACTCTCTGATTCTACATTTAAAAAATGTCAAAAACACATTTTCTCTAACTAGATTCAATAAAAAACAAACATGCACGCCTTTGTGCAGCCACTGATGCTTCAGTCAGAACCAACAGTGAAATTCAGGGACTTTCCAGCAGAACTGGGTTCAACTGCAGAGTGTGTTTACACGGAGCAGAGACAATACAAGCATGAGAACAAATTCAAAATGTGACTAATAAAACATCTGTAATATGTAGAATCTTAACATCATCCCAGGACTGGTGACACCTGTGACCACCTGATAAAATGCTCTACAAATCGATTCTGTACTTTTTCAATGTCAATGAAAAATAATTGATAAAATTCCAAACTTTTCTTTTTGACTCATGAGATATGCCATTATAACTGCAACTGGTTTCTGAGTTTTCTCTTTTTCTAGGGATTGTCGTGCTGTTTCAACAGAGGTGTAGGACTTTATGTTGCAGTAAAAAAAAAAGTGCCTACAGTGAGGAAAAATATGACAGGAGCAAAAAAGAAAACTGATTGGGGTTCAGTGGGTTAATAAGTGTGACTTATACTCTAATATTTGTTAACGAAACAGGAGATTGTTAACGAAACAGGAGATCTCTACTTTAAAACTTTATTCTAACTTTAGTTTCGGTACTTACGAGTACAAGGTGAGGTTGTCCAAGCTGTTGTGCATGTTGACGGGGTAGTGTTCTCCCAGGTGAAAGAGCTTCTCCAGAGCCTCGTAGATGAAGATGATGCAGATTAGCGCTGCGAATGCTTCTTCTGTGAAGCGGGTGATGTAGCAGACTAGCGAGCTAGCGTCTGTGGCCACCAGGACGAGACAGAGGAACGCTGTCCACAGACCAATGCTGGTCCGCAGCGACAGGTAGGACAGGCTGTAGTCCCTGCAAAGAAAGAAGAAAAACATTTGGGCGTCTCAGACTACAGAAAAATGATGATTAGAATATGCTAGAACAAACTTGCTTGAACTCACTTGCAGAACTTAAAGAGAATCTTCTCAAACACCAAAACAGGCCCTGTGCTGCCAAGAATAGTGAGGGGTTGGCCTGCGAACAGGGAGTACGCCACTCCTGTCAGTGATGCCCCAAACAGAGACTCTATGGCGCTCTGCAGAGACAGAGGAGAGGGATGGAGTGAGGGAACCAGACAGGGAGGACTGGGGAGGTGAGACCACACAAAGGAGGACAGAGAGGGAAGAGCTGAAGGAGCAAAGAGACAGAAGAGGAACAGACGGCCGAGCAGAGAGCTTTGATTAAACAGACATTCGGCGCTGTGTCTGAGAGGCTAGACAAACTCTTGAAATGTTTCCACCCTGCTGACTTGTCCGAAGTCATATCTCTGTGCAGACCTGGCCTGCTGAGTTTACTTAGACACATTACACACACCAGCACACACACACACACTGTGTCGGTGCCAACAGTTCCTGGCCTAGTAAGGACATCTGGGTAAAAGGGAGAAAGACAGAAAGAGGGAGAGAGAAAGAGAGTGAGCAATAAAAAGAGACTATACTGAACATCCTGCACTGTGAGAATGTCTGAGAATGTCAAATATGTGCCACCGACACTAAATTGTTAATCATTCGTTCAGAAGAAGGAACTTTTGTGCGTTTTATTTTATATTATTCCTATTCTTACTTCCATTGTGTGTTCAATCAACTTATTGTGAATTACTGATTTTTATTTCTCTGTTAATGATTCTCCTTTTTAGATGATTAATATGACTGTGTGTCGCTAGTTGTGGAAGTATGACTGTGTTTGTGTGTGTGTGGGTGTGTGTGTTCGGTCCCATCTGCCGTCAGAGTGTCACTCCTTTGTGTAGTTATTGTTCTGTTGGAGAGTGTTGCATTCTTGCACCGTCAGAAACTGTTAGTGGATTTCTTTTTGGACATAACGGTTGAGGAAACAGTAGATGGATACAAGTTTGGTGCTTCAGCTTGAGATTCTGAGAGCAATACCACCGCAACATCCACTTTAAATACCAGCATAAAAATTACAAATGATAATTTATATGTATGATAGGCAAAGGTAAAAGGCCAAAGGACATACACCTCAAGCTGAACAGCATGACTAAGGGATAAGGGGGTTCCACTCCCACTGGGTTCATGAAAAGCAGAAAACACCGACTTCTAAGTGCCAAGCTTTATGACTCACTATGTTGCCTTTTGTTGCCTCCCCGAGCAGACCTCCGAATGTGATGACAGGGGACATGCAGGCACAGTAGAGGAAGAGGATAGAGGCGAGACACTGCAGATTGAACGAGTCCCTGATGTCGCTCCAGTAGAAGGGCGCCTTCCGCTTGATGTCCAGAATCAGACCTCCAAAAATCCTGCACGAGGAAAGAGGTGGACTTGATTGTTTTCAAGTGGAACGGCACATTAGCGTCAAGAGGGAAAGGATATGAGGGGATTTTTAAAATAGGCTTTTTTTTTTTTTTTTCTAAGACTGAGTATTTTTTTGGTAGGAGCTGTTTTTACCTTTGACATGTTTCGACTGTCACTTCAGTCTTTCTCAGAAACATCACCTGACGTCTGTGGTGACGTGTCTGGTGCTTTTCTGGAGCTGTGACCCGCCTACCCGACCCCTATATTCCACCTCTAAATCTACGAGTCAAAACTTAGCTGGCTAAGCTCCGAAGGCTGTCGTTAATGTTCTCATGCCCAAGCTTTATTTCAGGTTTCAGTTCCATTTACACGTCACTGATTTTATTGTGGGCTGCAACGTGGCTCGGTGGTTAGCACCGTCGCCTCGCAGCTAGAAGGTCGCCGGTTCGCGTCCCAGTGAGGACTGCGTGGAGTCTCCATGTTCTCCCCGTACAGCGTGGGTTCTCTCCGGGTTCTCCGGCTTCCTCCCACAGTCCAGAAACATGCTGAGGTTAACTGGTGATTCTAAATTGTCCGTAGGTGTGAATGTGAGTGTGCTTGGTTGTCTGTCTCTAAGTGTAGCCCTGTGATAGACTGGTTACCTGTCCAGGTGAACCTGCCTTCACCCTGAGTCATAGGCTCCAGCCCCCCACCACCCTGGTGAGGATTTAGCAGTATATACAGCACCCTCCATAATTATTGGCATATTGGTGAAGATGTGTTAAAAGCCTTAAAATAAATTCAACTTTTATTGCAGAAGCATACTGTCACACTGAAAATTGTAGAAAAATTCAACCTTCAACTCAACTCAAATGAATTGTTGGCAAAAGGGGGTTGTACAAAGTATTAACATCAAGGGTGCTAATAGTTGTGGCACACATGATTTGATGTAAAAGAATTATTTTTTAATGTGGGATTTTTTTCACACTGAATAAAAGCACTTGAATTAAAGGTTGAATTTTCCTCTTTTTTTTTCATTGTGGTCCCATATTATTTAGAAAAAAACTGAATTTACTAGAAGCTAAAGAACACATCTTAACCAGGGGTGCCAAAAATTATGGAGGGCGCTGTAGATACTGGATGGATGATATTTTTGTCTTGGCTAAAATGGAGAAGGGGCAAATCTACAATTTTGTCAGCCTTTCCTTCCTGCCAGAAACGACCATTTCTACTGCTAATTGTCAGTCTGTCTTACAATCTCTCCTACCAAAAAAAAAGACTACACAAAATTTAAAGAAAGAATCCTTATATGTACAATTAGAGTAGACAAAATTAACCTAATCAGAGTGAGAGAAGTGGACACGTTTAATTTAGTGTCCAGCAATAGGAAGCAGTTGGTCTCCAGAAAGGTGTAAAGACAACAGGTGATTATGACCAGAGTTCGTCAATGACTGGAATCATTTATTACGTCTCTTATTTCCCTGATAATCATTAATGCAAAGTAGTTCTGCTGCTCTCTCTAACACTATCACTGTGTAACTTAATTTAATGTGATGTTGTCTTTATAGCTAGTCTGACTATTTGACTGTTTCAGAGTTGGTTTTCACTCACATACTGAACAAAACCAGTCTGTCCACCCGACATCTTTCTCGGTTTCCGCCTCGTTTTACTTTGCCTTTCACAGAGTCTATTTTTGAAATCCATTTCTCACCTTGTATATTTTCTATTTTTTCCCCCTGACACCTGTCCAATAGCTGTCCTTTGAGGTCTTCTTTCATTTTCGTTTTCCCCTACACCTCTGGAATAACCTCTGTTGGCTGCCTCTGCTACCCCCGCCGTCTCTTTTATAGCATTTCTGATAGCTTTCTTTACATTACTTCCCTGAACTCCTTTACACTCATCTGTCCCCCAGCAGCTCCCTCATAGCGCGAGCCTTTTATAGTAGCGGTGAAAAGGAGAGTGAATCTGTAAATAATACAGCGCCTCCCCAACAGATGTGTACGTGTGTGTGTCTGTCTGAGGTTTCAAATAAACACATTCTCCACGCTGTGTGGCCGAGGCTCCAGAGACTCAGCATCAGTTATCCATAAATGTCAGCATCTGAGGTTCGGCAGTCGAGTACGGCAGAATCGCGTCGGCTCAAACACATATTAACGTTGACCTGATTTAATTTCACATTTCATAAATTTTCACATTCTGGTGATCTCGCAGAAAAGAAGCAAAAGCCTTTAGTGAACACTTGCTCACAGAACACGAGCTATTGCTAAACTGAAAAATGTTCTGGATGCTGTCTTGTAATTTGCCTCGTCTTGATTTTAGAGCATGTGCAGCGAGCACATTGCCACTAATAACACGATAAAATGAGGGTTCCTCTGTGAGCTTTCTTCTGCAAACGTTCCTACTTGCGACTGAAACATGCTGCACTCACCTTCCAGTCCTCTGCAGCTCAGGCCCTACAACATGGTCCTCCTCTTTTTCCAGCTCTCCAGCTGGAGATGCAGTGCCATTGGGCTGGGTCGGTCTCTTCCTCTTCAGCTGTAGGTCAAAGGACATTTAACATTTTAGTGCAATACATCTCCATGGATTGTAATTCCTTTGCTGTCATGATGCCTTAAATCCATAAGGGGGCACTCACACTGTTATTATAACAGCATGAAGCATATATGATGTGCAGAAGCATACACACAAAACAAGTCATGGGTTATAGTTTATAAGACCAGACTTGTGTCGAACTCGACAACAAGCTGCTGGAGATCCATTCATGTGAGTCAGGTGTGTTGCAGTGCAGAAACATCTAAAACCTGCAGGACAGTAGCTCACGAGGACTGGAGCTGGAGATCCCTGCTCTAGAGAGATTTACTGACCTGTGAGGGGACATTCTTGGGGGGTTCGATCCGGATCGTAGGGTCCCATTCCCCAGGAGGCAGGACGGTCACCTGGTCGAGGAACTCATCTATCCCGGACAGAAGATCCGTCCGGTCTTTGGCCTTATACGCCACGTCATGGAAAATCTAAGAAAAGAATTGTACTTTGACTGATTCCTCTAAATTTGTGGTGAAGGAGACGTTAGGGTTGCAAATCAGCATCTGTTTTCAAATTTAAAAAACATGAAACAAATATTTTCTTTGGAATAGTTTTAGAATTACTTTGGCAAAAATAACAAGGTATTAAAAAGTCCAATTCTATTCTCACCTCATCTGTCATTAGTGTGGCCATGGATCTACCAATTTCATGGTACTGTGGTCCTTTACCATGAGGACCCAACAGTAGGAAAAGAAACCTTTAAACACAACACATACATTCAATAAGTTGACTGACAGTAACACTAAAGACAGCACTTAAGCTATATTGTGAAACCTTTGGGGTTACCATTAATGACGGCAAAGGCAGCCTCTAAAATATCTTGATGCCTGCATGATACTCGCATCATCCATGTTTACTAGTTAGCTTCACCTTGTGGGCGAAGCGGGATCAGTGGGTTAGCAGGAGCATGAGTTTACAGTGTCACAAAAACGTCTCACTTTTCACCTTCACTTAACCTATGCTGCACGCTTACAGGAGTTTGTGGTTGAGGTTTCAGACATAATTTGACGATAAGAAGCGTCTTTTCCTAATCACAAATCTCTATACGTGATATTGATTCTCTGCTAAGGGAATACGTTATATCTGCAAACTTGTTGAGCTGTATGTTGGTCTCTGAACAAAGCTGTGCAGCTGCAGTACTGCAAACTGTAACTGCACATGTATTAGTTTGGTGATGCAGAAAATGCATAAATACGTGTTTGTTTGATTTTCTACCAGTTCGTTGAACACATTTGATGAGATGTGTGGGTATCAAAGAAAACCAAAGCTGTGTCTCTTTTTTAAAGCCAGTCTTATTGTCTACTGTATGTAATCAGCATTACAGTTTTACAGAACTACTTGCATGGCTTTAGACTCCTAAGTCACTTTATAAATTACAGGCATGAGGAACAGGGTGGCGGACAAACAACCTCAGTCAGAAACACTAAAAATCCCCTGCTCATTTCAGTCCCATGCCAGTGGGCTTTTACAAATTAAATCAGTTTGCTGGCCAGAGTGTAATAACTCGTCAGCGTGGAAGACTTTTATTGAATTTCTAATTTTAGAAGCCGTTCTAATAATATCATGTGATTCCTAATTATTGTACCTCGTAGGCACAGGAACCTCAGTGAGGCCTGTGATAAGGACCGCCGGCGATAGTCGTACAAATGCAATTATGGGCTTCTCCAGGAAGTCCACTTCTCCCACCAGCACATTGGAAGCCTCGGCACCCGGGGGAATCTTTTTCATGAAATTCATGTCCACCTAAAATCAGGGAAATCGTGGAATTATGTATATAGATGAGCACTAAAATTAGAGGAAACGTGTAAACAAGGAAGAAGTAATTGTGATACAACTAAAGGACACACGTGAAAAAGGATGAAGACATGGGAATGTAAAAGATGGCAGCAGGTCGATAAGAGGCTATGGTAGCAAATAAAGCTGGTAGCTCCATTAAGAACTACATAGTACTGAGCAAAGACTGTCTATTGTTGTGATTCATCCCTTATTAGGTTCCCCAAGTAAACACCTCGTGTGCAGTGCTAAATACAGATCTGAGCATAGCAACAGGTTCTTCATCACTGTGTAGAAAACACTGTGCCTTCATCCCTCTTTTGTATACTATGACTCATACAAACACTGCACCTTATTTTTTGGCAGTCATAATGGACGGTTTTGTGATGATAACTACTTATGGCAGCCTGCCATTTCATTTAATGGATGACAAAAGTACAAAATGGTAGGATGGATGGAAGCCATGCGACGGAGGCGTACTTTCAAAACTAAACAGTTACATAACTGGAAGGCTCCTTTGATGATCAATTCTTAGTCCATTACAGGTGGAGCAATGACTTAAGACGCCTCTTACTGAGCCCAGAAGAAAAGGGCTAATGGGTATATGTGAAGCTGCCTCTCGTAGATGCGGTTTTCAACACAGGCCGCTGAAATGTCTGTGAACGTCCAGCAACTGAAGAAAGACACACTGATGGACTCGCTCATGGGCCACTCCACCATGATGGACTGTTTCTGTGCTCAGTACTGCGGTCAGGTTACCTTGCTGAAGTCGACACTGCTGCTTTCTCTACTGACCCCTACTTTAGATGGCCTCCTTTCCGCTGCCTTGCTGCCGTCCAGGTTGTTGGGGAGAGAGTTTGGAGACACCAGCGGTCCTGGGAGGCACAGGAGGAGGGAAAATAGACAGAGCGGTGATGGACAACGTGTAAGTATTTGGCTGGCAACGACCGGAAGGAAACAGCTGTGTGTGATTCACCACAAAATGCAATTTATGATCATAACTAAAAGCCATGTGTCGTTCATTTTCTCCCGACTCAGATGCTAATTTTGCAGCGATAGAAAAAACAACGTTCTGGGTGTTTTTATCTGTAGATTTTATAGCATGGGCTCAACAAATGGGATGCAGTTTCACAGGCATTTACTGTCTCCTGGCAGTCCTGATAGAAAATCTGGAAATCATGCTGCTGCACAAACAGATTCGTGATGCGATATTACAGGGAAAATAAGTGATTTAGAGTGACACTAATGTTCTGTTTTGGTAATTTGATCAACAAAAAAATGAATCAAAGTTATGCAGTCATGCTTAATTAAGTGGCTTGGGAAATTTTTGTGGTCAAATATTTTCAGTTTATTTCTCCAACCTTTATCTCATACATTCTTTACATTTCAACAGGATAGTTAATGTGGGTATTTTATTTTCCCTGTTGCAGGAATAAGGAGCCATTTTTTCTCTGGAATGATCAACAGCCAATTAAGATGTAGCATCCAGAGCAGTTGGATGAGCTGATTTTTTTTCCACATTCTTGACTGGAGGTGAAATGATTTCCTCCACCTAAATCACTACCTGCTACATGTGATGATCTGATACTGAGCTGAGAGACCATGATGGCTCTCCACAGGGAAGAGGATGTATTTCACGCTGTACTGTTCCTGATTACACCCCGTCTGTCGAGCTCATTGCTCCGGCACTCAAATCAGTCCTGCTTAGCTCAAATTCGTGTCAGCTTTGAGCTAAAGGTGAGCGGATGTGTTTGATATATTCCTGACAGTTCACCAGCCTTAGAATTCAGCACCTTCACGTGTTGAAAGTTCTGTACTCCTGTGCGTAATTGGCTGCACACTCTGCACAACATTGCTTGTGTGGTTTTGAGCCATACCAGATACAGGAAACGCTAGCACTTGAGGTGACATGAGAGCGGGATATGAAATGAGGGAGGAATGCATCTGAATCAAAGGATAGCATGTTCACGCTATCCTCTGAAATTCTGAGGTAAAACTTCTTTTACCAGGTTTTCCATCTTTTACAATTTTCCCCATCTGCAGAAACACATTCAGAAGAAATAATCAAGCAAACAAAATGTGCCGTTTCTGCCAGCATGTGGTCTGGCAGGTGATCTGTACCCTTGAACTGTACCCTGGAGTAACCCCCGTGGATGCTGGGTAGCCGTGACTGCTGAACAGAAGCATGATTGCTCACATACCTGACAAAGCCTCTAGGAATATGAGAGGGATTAGCTTATGTTGTGTCCGCCAACACACTTCATTCAGCAAGGCTAAGCCGCGGAATGCTCCCCCATAGAAGCCTTTTAAACTGTGGCGTCACAGCGCTACCTCATTCGTATGCAAAAGAGTCATATAAATAACCCTGACTCTTATATGGGACTGCTAGCGCTGGCGGCACTGACTTTCGCAACGGAAGCTAAAAGGAAGACGGCATCAGATTATCGTGTATATTCATAGCAGTTATATGGATGTGCATATTGAGGCAGGCTACGCTTCCTTCTTTCATTTGAGTTACAAAGAGAGATTAAAACCAGTCAAGGGATATGTTGTAACATGAGGTTGAGACAAGATGCAACCATTCAGGAGGAAATGGTCTTTGTCTGATAGAACTGACCTCTGCTGGTCCTGGTGAGGTTAAATTAGACAGAGAGAAATGCTTGAGAAGCACTCGAGCAGGACCTACAGCACACTTCGTGCATCGTGGTCACCAGCGATTCCCTCACTGCCTTGTATAGAGGCACATGACTTTATACTCAATGGGAGCGTGGCATGTATATGTATAAATAGCCTGCAGTCAACTTAATACCACCGCAAAACATCCACATCATTGCATCCTCAACTAGAAGTATTTATAACCTTTAAGCCAGACGGCTCCTGCGATCCAGACAAATTGTTTTAAATGACGCATTAAGGGCATTTACCTGTTCAATACGTAGACATATGGTGCAGAACAGTGCGGTTTGTACAGCCTATAGTGAACACCGAAGCACGTTATTAACTGCAGTGATTTGAAATTTAAAAGCTTTGAAGCTCTCCTCTGAGTAAGCCACACTGATGTCGAGATGCTCGCCTCCCAATGCTGTGCGTTTTCCGAGAACGGGGTACAATTACAGAAGCTCGTCGGCTATAATAAGACCTCCACAACCTTTCAGATTCAGCTCCTACCGAGCGAACGCTGATTCTAATGACCCATACTTTCAAATGGAGCCATTCCAGGAGTGAAATAAACACAGACGTATGTACGCACATGCACACAGGGTTCTAATAATAAACTCACATGGCTCGGTTTGGGAAGAACAAAAAGTCACCGTAGGTGCCAATGTGATCGTACATGCAGCACCCAACACATGGACGCTGGTCTCAGGCTTATTTTTGGCTGTGCTGTTGAGGCACATTGCTCTTACTACGCTCTTAATCGGGTAAAAGAATGTTTATTCTGCGGAATTTATGAGGAGGAAGCGAATGAATGCCAAATGATGCACCGGGTAAAAAACAAAAAAAAAGCAGCTGCATGACATTTATAGTTGTGCAAACTCAAAATGGAGCAGTCATCTGGGGGTAAAACGTCACAGCTAAAAGACTTTAGGATGTGTTCTATCAGTGTCTGTATCATACACCGTACCAGCAACTTAACTAGTAGAGATGTCCCAGGCTATATGAGGCCATTTAAGAAATTGTGCTCAGAGTCTATAACCTATCAACATGGCCCCAAAACACCTGTAAACCTGTTGGGTCTCTTTAAGCTTAAGTTCATGGTGTGCATAATAAATGCAGAACAATAATATAGTATTAGCAGATACCAAAGATAAGGTGAATGATTCCGATCAGAGGAAATAAAGTAAAATTAACTTGATCAGGACATCCCGTCTCACAGATTTGACATAAAATACCATGAGATATTTAAGATAGAGTGAGCTGATTGTGAAAATAAAACATCAGAAGACGCGTGATGCAGTGTAAGAGAAAGACAGAGCAAAACATTTTGGTAGACGGCCATGCGATCACAACGAAGGAGACGTGAAAGGGGGATGTGACCAAGCAAGGCATAGACACTGAATGCGTAGGAAAATGTGTAGAAGGGCAGAAAGTATAAAAAGCTTAGAGGGCAGAATGACAAAGAGAGCAGAAAGGCAAGGGTCAGTGGAATGAACAGAGACAGAGAAGGGAAAGAAGCAGGATTCATGAGATGGAGAGGGGAGGAGTGTCAAAAACTTTGTGGATAAGTACAGTGTCTTAGCGAGCGAGAGCCTTGCTGTGGGTTACTAATGAGATGGCCGTAAGGTTGGAAGGTAACAGAGAGCAGAGCTTTCATGCTAGTGCTAGTGTTCTCTGTTCAAGCTGTGACTCACACTTGCAGGCTACACAGATATTTGCCTTCTAAGGGCAGCAGCTCATGGTTGTGGGATGCCAAGGATGCTCTCCGGCTGAGCTGTGGTGACACTGCCTCTTCTTCTGCAGAGTTGGGTGGGTCGTCATCCTCGGGAGGAGATACCACAACCTCAGGGATGCCTTGAGGGCCGAGGCCCGCGCCATGGGTTTGTGACGAGCTCTGAGAGGAACGGCGAAAAGACGAAGGGGTATTTTGAGGGGTGGTGTGGGGAGAGTGGCCGGGGGACAGCCCAGTGTTGGAGGAAGTAGAGGGCAGGAGGTGGTTGAGCAGGACGGAGACTCTGGACTCTCGTCTCTGGGACAGGTTGGAGACAGAGGAGGCTGCCCCTGGCTTGTGGAGAGAGAGACGTGAAGAGGAGAGGCCCTCTCCTAACAGAGGAAACAATGGCAAAAAAAGGAGAAGAAAAGGAGGCAGAAGGAGGGAAAGGAGAAGGAGGAAAAAGGAATAAGGGATGGAGCAGAAAGGAAAAACATATGAGGTAGAAGTACATCAGAGATGGTATCTGAAGGAGACACAGGGAGAAAGGGTGGGCAGCAGGAGCGTGGCAGAGGTGTAGTTAGAGAGATTCGTGCTTGCATAAACGTGAGCAAAAAGCATGGCTGTGTGCAGAAGACACTAAGAATGACTCAGTGAGGCATGTAGGAGAGTCTGCAAAGGCCAAACAATGTGTTACATTCAACTCCAAACAAACCAGTCACACACCATGACTGAACAGAGGCAAATCTCTGAGCTCAGAGAGTCGTGCATGCAGGAGAGGATGAGTTAGCACGATGTCAGTGCGCTGTAAGCAAACATGTGCGCTACCACAAACAGACCAGTCAGAACTCCTACACAATACATACTCATTTGAATATACATCTTTCACACTGCAGCAGTTCCCACCACCAACCTTCACTGTGACATATCATCATTTTGACCTTTCACTTTGTGCGTTTCAGGCTTAATGATATGAGAATGCAAGCCCAACAGGAACCACAGGCACAGGAGTGGAGAATGTGATATTTCATTCATTATTAAAACCTCGGGCTGCTCACCCAAGATCTTAAAATGCACACCATACGTTAACACCACTGTGGCCGTGCCCAGTCAAAAAAAACACACAATGCCGACTCCACTTGCAGGTAAAAGCATTGTTTCCTGAAAGTCACTCTGAGGAGCGAAAAACAATCATCAATTCAAACCCCAAAGCCAGGCCAGCCATACAGGTTAGCGCAAATACTGGCACCCAGATTTCTCTTTCACTAAAGGGAACGACTGCTTCGACAGACATTATTCTCTAAATTTTACTCACTTTTACCATCCACCTTCTACGCTGGCATTGAGGGATTTGAACAGTGGACTTTTAAGAACAGTTCCCCAGTGGTGGAAAATATGGAGGAAAAAGAAATGTGAGTGCATTAGAGGATCTCACCGTTTCTTTCAAGCAAGAGTGGGTCAGAATGTTTCTTGCCTATGTCAGCAATAGAGCGCACCAGCGGGATGCGATTGCTGAGCTTTCTTTCATTCTGATGATGGTGTTTCTTCAACATTGCTTCCCGCACCTTGTCGCGCAAATCCTCCTTCAGCTGACCCGACGCCACCATGCTGTCTATTAACATGTCTGAGTCGAGCAAAGGCAGGAGCAGGAGCACAGCAGGGAACAAAAATATAGAAATGGACAATGAAAATTACATTACTACAGTCACAAATAATTAATATGTACCTCATACTTTCCACAACAATACAACACAATATGTCCTGTGTCTTTAAAAAAAAATGATTTCAGGGAGTAGCAAAAAACTGTACCTGCGATTTCTTCAATACTATTGGCCCTCATATCCAGCATGACTGTGCCATTAAGTATGCAGCTACGCAGTTCAAATAAGCTGTGCAGTGACAGTGTGGCCACATAGGGCTTACTCCACCTCTCCCCACCGTCTTCCACATCCTCTTCAAACTTCAGCCATCTGTAGATGTTCGCCAACAGCACACACAGACAAAGAAAAGTTAGGTGAATCCACAAAGTATTCGTAAGAAAAAAAAAGGAGCTGCATTACAATTCAAGAATATGCTGTTCTAGAGTTGTCCTTAGCCATTTCAAATTTCATTTTTCAGAGCACGCACTGTAACTGAAACGCTGCAAACTGTGTGACTTATAATCCAAACCTGTCCCTTTACTGAAGAGTATTTTATTAGGGAGGGAACGATCACTATTGCAATTTCAAAACCCCAATACTCTATGCAAAATAACCTCGTGAAAGTTTTGTGAAGTGAGGCTGAGAATGAGCCTAATCTTCATCTCCTCAGATCTCGAAGAAGGATCAGCTTCAGATTGAGATGGCTGCATTAACCACAACTACGGAACCAATCTTGAGTGGTTTCGACTGTTCTTTCCCAAAGTTCTTTTAAAGAATTGATGAAATCTTGAAAACTTGCATATCGTTAGGCTGTAATTAAGTTCTGACTTATTCATAGTATTACCAAAGTTCACAGTAATTTGCACTGAAATAGCAGCCATTAAAGCTAACAGTTGTGACTAATAGTCAGGAGAGCCAGGACTTCCACTCAGATGTTATTATGCTACAAAACTATCCTACAGACACATTCAAATACCGACAACTAAAATCTGTACAAAGAGGCAAGACATCTGTACGATCTGTACAGAGTTCTGTCTTTAAACTTCACGTGCTGTTCACCCCTTGAGCTGTTTTCTGACCTGGCAGTCTCTTTCCACTCAGTGGCACTGCCATCTCTGAAGGAGAGCTCGTCCAGCTCAGTGAAGAGGTCATGGGGGACGTGCTCGAGGTCGTCGTCCTCTGTGCCCAAGATGAACTGCACCCTCTGGGACGGTGTGTCTGAACGCAGAGTGGGCCAAATGTCAAATTTATGTCAATTACAAACGACTACAACAGTAAAATTCTCAACAATTATCTGCTATCAAACATACCCTGGGGAATTTTCTGACCATTAGAATTACTATTCACAGGCCTGACAATGTTTTCATCAGTAAAATAAAGCATTAAAAAAAATACAGGTTCCAAAATTTAAAAGCACATTTACACAAAGTAAACAGCTTTTGCGCTTCCTTCCTATCACCATATTTTCTCAAAGTTCAGCTACAGAGAGTGACGTGGGAAAATGTCTCTTGGAAGCAGTGATTAAATCTAAACATAACAAAAGGGAATGGGAGAATGACAAAACCGAATTCTTTAGGAGAAAGTGTGTGACTGGCCAGCACAACTGCACTAATGCCTCCAAAAGCCCTGGGAGATCATGTTTTTTGTGGGGAAGGGTACGAGGAGACCAACTGCTTTTCTGCCACATGAGGAGGAATACATATGCATGCTTGAGTCTGAGAAATCTTTTGAAGCAAAGTATCCAAGAGAGAATAATGAAAACTTGGATGCTTTCACCAATTTTCTTTCATGTCTGATTAAATTAGAGGGCAGAGATCGGGACATCTGGAACCAGAGAGAAAGCGGAAACAGATATGGCAGATTACACCACAGGGAGGCAGAAATTGAATGACTGGAAGGATAAAGGGAGAGTTACTTTCTGTTAACACATGGAGATATTGTGTGGTGGTCTGGTGAGTATTATGCATATGTGAGTAAAACATATATATATATATATATATATATATATATATATATATATATATATATATATATAGTAAATAGTATTTTATTTAGTGTCAGTGGCATGAAGAAAAAATTATACTCCTCAAAGAGTTCAACATATTGTTTATGTGCTTACGAGTCCAGCAGCTGGGATGATGCCGTACCTTCTCACACAAAACGCACGCACACACATCGCTTAAAATGTCATAGCCTTCAATCTGTCAGAGGCTGGTTCACAGTGGCCTTTAATGCCTTTTAGAGCTGAATGTTTTATTCAAAACACTTTGAAGGATGGAGCAACACAGAGGGTTTAAGCAAACCGCTGCTCTAGTCTGGAATCCTGTGCATTGTTTACGGCTCGTCTGATTACAGATCAGCTTTTTTACCACTTTCACTGAAGACGTTTCTACCGAGTGCATCATTTTATTGCGTGTTTATTCCATGACCACTGTAACACTGGAAAAATAACTGCTTAAATATTAAATGTTTTGAGTCACTATAAATACTGGGGAATTACAGGCACCAGAATACTACATAAAAATAAAAAGCTAAGCCAGGGCTATGTCCAAAATCACTCTCCATTCAGTCAGTAGTGCTCTGCATTTACTGGCTGAGTGTCTGAATTCCAAGTGCATAAATCTGCCTCGTATATAGTGCTCTTATAAATTCTGCAGTGTAACCAACAAACAATGGCAACATGCAACCCACCACGATGTAACGTGCCACATTTTACAGATGCCCAAATGTCACTGGATGACTCAACAGCTTGATCATCCAAAATGACAATGACTAGTAAGTGTTCTTATTCTCAGTTTACTGTTCACTACTGAGAGAAATATCGAGCGTCCGCTATATGGGGAGTAGTGTGTGAACAAGAGGCGGATTTTATGACGTTGAACGGGGCTTTCTGTTATGGATTACAACAGATTCTCTTGTCTTCAGCGAGTCCTGTGAGCATATTAATAAATACAGCTGAAGGGGCTTAAAAGTGCACATTAAATACAAGCTAAAATATTGTGGGGAAAAATACAAGATGAGAGAGTAGAACACGGATAGAAAACAAGGAGAGTATGATAGAAACTGGAGGCATTGGGATATCTACTGTAAGCTTGGTGTTATAACTTAGTGCCCAACCGTATGTGGGGGATTCCCTGCCATCTTCCTTCCCCTCCTCGGAGTCTTTCTCTTTCTTCTTTCGGTGGTGTTTGTGTCCTCGGTGGCGATGCCTCCGCTTGCTTTCCCTTCCAAGAGGAACATGGACGCCTACGTATACTGCTCTGTGGCCTGGTAACAGACAGATACAACATCGATTCAGACAGCTTTCCTTCTGCACATTATTTCATGCGAGTGGGGGGGCAAAAAAGAAAAGTAAGAAGGGCATTCAAGGCATAACAGCATTAAAACAGGTTAAAATTTCAGATAAAAACTTACTCAGAATGTATGGTCATATGGTAACTGTGGTTCTCTGAGTGAAGAGACTATCTCTCCATCCAGTTACATGTGCGTATGTAGAGGTAATGAAAGACCCCCCGCTGCTCGTCAGGGTACATGGGCACTTCATTAAGACCCACCGGCTTGCCCGATCACTCCCCACAGATTACCTACAAAGCACCTGTACTGGTGTGAATTCACTGATAGTTTGATCGAAACAGGTTTCTGAGCAGCCAAAAGAGCTGGAGAGACTGTCTCCTCACTCAGAGAACGACAGTTACGATACGACCATGTGTTCTCAAGAATATCTCTCCGCCCAGTTACATACAGTTGTTTGTATTTAAGGCAACCAGTCTGAGCTCAGCCTGGGCGGGATGAAACAGGGTCTCGTCAGCCTGACACAGTAGGTCTTTCTCAAAGTGGAAGCTTCCATGTGTCCTATTTGAGAGTGGCGAAACCATAGGGCCATGGTGAGTGGGACCAAAGAGGAGCCACCAAAATCAGCCTCACTCCTTCTGCCTGAATATTTGGAAGACGGGGCTAGGGAAGTGTGAAAGGAGAGAAGGCTCAAAGCAGACTACTGGGCCACATTTGTGCTGGGACATTGCACCCCCGAGGTGGATCATCATCCTATGAGGGGAAAAAAAGAGTCAACAATGTGCTGAAAGGTCGAACCTTTGCCCTGACAAAGTGACACCAAGTCTCCTTAACCCCCGGAGGATGAAGTCACCACTCCCCTGGGTGTGGAGTCCCTCTTTAGGTGACTTCTGCTGCCGTGTTAAGAGTTGTCGGCACATGTGTAACTGAGAAAGCAGAAGAGGGAGTGAACCCTCTGCCACAGTGTGGTCACCTACCTGCTTATTGATAGGCGCTGCAGTCACTATGCTGTCTTTTTTTTTAGTTTTTTTTTTTGGCCTATTTGGTTTTATTGGATAGGACAGTTGAGAGAGAGACAGGAAAGTGGGGGAGGAGAATGGGGAAAGGAGTTGCAGCAAAGGGCCATGAGCGGGATTCAAACTACAACTCAAACTCTAAGAATAAAGCTGAAGGAGGCTGAGGCAAGTATAGAAGGTCTGTCACCTTTCTGGAGTCAGGAAATTAGTTTCCCTCCTCAAGTCCAGATCACCAAGCTCAGATATGTCATCAAGCATACTAACTTGCACTGGAAAGGTATCACAGTGATAGTGAATGCCTCTCTTTATTTGGAGAGATACTGGCTTGACTCGGCCAGAGTACACTTTCTGCCGCTTGCCAAAATCTGTGCTCAACACAGACCACCACTGAGCCTGTTAGCAGACCACTACAGCAACACACTTCTGGGGCATTCAGATACCAACACAGCTGGAGGAAAGTATCCTCACCTGCTGTTTAGCTGAACAGGAAGTCTGAGCTCAGCAGGGACCCCATCTAGCCTGTTAGCTTACAAACCCACAAGCAACACGCTGGTAAAGAATCACAGTCAGAATAAATGCCTGTCTTTTTTCAAGGTGCTGGCTTGACCTGGCTGGAACAGAGTTTTTTATTCTTTTCCTGCTCATGAACCTGTTAGCAATACACTGGTACTGGGAATCCCTGCCCCAAGAGCTCAGGAGTTTGCTGGCCAGGTTCTGGAAATTGTAAAGAGGGAGGAGGGTGCTTTGAGGATCCCTGAGCCTTCATAGCTGCTTTTCCTCCTCTAACTTGTCTGCTTTCACGCCTCTAAAAAGCCTCCAGCCAAGGCCTCAAGCTTTCCTATGGAGGCCACCAGACACCTCCACAGGCAGATCCAGTAAACAGTCCCATTCTCCCTGCTGGTGCTGGGACAGTCAAAGGTGGCATCTAGCAACCCAAAAATATACTAAAGCTCTGTTTGCACTTGTATAATAGAGTAAAGACATGAGGGGCTATCTGAAGCTCATGCACCATACTTCAACCCCTGGAACATTCCAACACCAGAAGATACAGATGATGAAGGTTGGGGGACACAATGGGCTCTAGTGTTAGCCACTTGGGCTAGCCATGTGTTAGCCATGGCCATAGCTCTGTTTTGCCTTGCAAGCAGGCCATCCATAGCCTGTTAGGGTAGGTGGCTGCACACAGAATGGAGCTGCTGGCGCATTACACTGTTCACACACCAAGTCCCAACAGTCAGACAGGAGAAACACCTGCGCTGGTATGGGGATGCACCTCCACGTCTTCCTCTACTCAGGAGGAAGGGGAAGGGAGGCTCCACAAGGTTTTCATGGAGGGCAACACCCAGAACACTGGTTGTCCTGCCAATTACCCCTAAAATACGCTGCAAGCTGGACAGGTCATTGTCTTTGGAAGAGAAGACAGTCTCTACACCCTTATCCTGTTCCTCTTTTTTCTCCATCCTCCATCACCTCCAACCCTGGAGTGGGAGTAGGAAAGGGGTGAGCTGGGTGTCTTGCCAAGGCCCTTAACGCTTCCTTTTTGCCTTGGTGCTTTTTCCCCATTTTCGCTCTGCCAAGTGCAGAAAAATGAGGGAACCTATGCACTTTACCCCAAAACCTGGACTTCTCTGGTACATGCAGACATTACAAAACAGTCCAGGCAAGACGGTGGGATCTCTCCAGATAATAATGCATTTTGGTGACCCAATACACCTCTGACAGTCATCCTCCATGACATGGAAACTCCACAACCCACACAAAAGTGTCCTGGGTGGCCTGCCATAGTTGAAAAATCCAACATCTTTTCAGGGGGCAGGGACTGGCCACAACGCGGAAGTGCTGGCTGCCTAGTTGGGAATACAGTTAGCATCATGCTAAGTTAGCTTTGTGAACGAACTAAGCCAAGGAGGTGTTCTGGGAATCGGAGAGCTGAGGTCATTTGGACATGTTAAGGACGGAGCTAGCAAGAGAGGAGACGCTCGCTGTTAGTCTGCGCTCAACATTAGCTGACCAGCGCAGCAGGATGCTCCAGCAGCCTTCAGGCGGCAGCAGAGATGCCAACACGGCCGGAGGAAAGTTTGCTCCCACCGAGCGCATTAGCTCACCAAGCCGCGAGCAATACGCCGGTACAGAACCACAGTCGCGATGCCGGCTCAACCAGACTGGGACGGATTTCCTCTGCCTGCTAGCCGACGTTAAGTCCGCGCACAGCACGAGCCCCGCCGAGTGCGTCCGCTCACGCACCGTGGACAACACGCCGGTGTTTGAGATGACAGCCACATGTGGTGGTGAGACAAAGGAATATATCTGACAACATCTGGACAGGGGACAGCGATCCAGGGAGGCTGTCCGCAGACAAACGGCCGAACCACGACAGGTGAGCCGATGCTGTCACCAACACACACACGTGCAGAATACTTTGAAGGTGGTAGTAGTAGATTGTCACACCGCCTCGTGGCTGAGGTGGAGGTCAAACAATCAGGTGTATGACCCCAGCCCAGGGGTTTTTAAGGTCACCCTTGGAGTATCAACGTACCCTGACAAGCTGGAGGGAATACATGAAATATGTGACTGGGTGGAGAGAGCGCTACGAATTAGGTGGTGAGGAGAAGGTGAAAGGATTTCATGTTATTTAGCTACTCACTCAATAAATGTTATTGGATGTGCACAATCACTAGTTTTTGTCCTATTCTCGGCCTATACCAGAACCATGTTGTTTTCACATTGTATGCTCACGTCAGATAAAGAACCAGGGTCTTATTCCAAATGCACACAAAACATTTAATCTATAACATTATAAAATGTCAAAAATAACCAAGGTCCATCCTTTACAAGCAGCAGATTTCAACCTTAGTTAGCAAGTTAAACTAATCTACTGACAAAACAGGAACTAAGTCTGATGCTTTCCAGAGGCAGAACGGCAACAGAAATGTAATAATTTGCTCTTAAAATCCAGGAAATGGTATGAAAAATAATAGCTCCAATTTAAACGTGACAATTCCAAACAATAAAAACAGCAAAAACAGTGTCACGCTGCCAGGGATAGACATTACAGTCACTGAAATCTTAACATTCAAGACAGGAGACAAATCATTTCTTTCCGTTTCTTGCGAGCGCTCCAGATAACCTACTTGAAGAAAACCAGAGCACAACATTTAACTTTTTCACCCCTCTGTTTTTTCCCCCCAGTGTTTTATCTGCTTCCCTTCATTATTGTTGCCACCACAAAGGAACTGTGCTCTGAAATGGAAACGCCTTATTTTCACCCTACGTTCTCTGCCAATACCCATTTTTCACAGATGAGTCATCCCTCTTTGATTTGAAAGGGAACCCCTGAGGAACGAAACCAAGATGCCGGACTCGGAGGAAGGCAGAAGTGACATACACGTGACTTTAACAGATGGAGAGAGAGTAAAAAAAGAAGAGAGAGGAAAGACACAGGAGATAAAAAACAAACAAACTGACAGCCTTAGCTGGACAGAGAGCACGGGGCTCCAGGGGTGTCATAAAGCTGAGATATTATTGAAAGGTGGATTTGATGTGGAGGACCAAAATAAAAAAAATAGCATCATTCTCTTAAATCTTATTTGACAGTTGAAAAAGGACAGTCACCAGAAAACTATTTTGGTCTGCACAGCTTTAAACTTACTTTCCAATTCTTCTTTTTCATAGTTTGTGTGAGTTGTGAAGCTGGTCTTTCCATGGTCAACTATTGCCTCCTCATCTAGACCCTAAGAGAGAGAAGAGAGAAGGACAGGATTATTGTTTTTCATTCACACAGAGAATTATTGCATTTCAATTGTCCCCTTGATTATGTATTACACTTGCTTTTGTAGCACTTTTTTCTCTATTTAAAAAAAACTGTTATTATAATGAAAAATATCTCATTAGACACTAACGGCTGCTCCCCCTCATGAGTTGCTCTCACAGGGGAATGGACACCAAACTTAATCATTTTGCTGTGTGAGCTGAGGACAGATTGTTCCCTCAGTTACCTGTCAAACAAAAATGACAGATGCTGGAACATCTCCTGCAGGTTTTGGCGAACACGTAGCGAGTCCTGTTCTTGTCTCAATTACGATTATTCTTGCACTAAAATCTCTCTGGGAGGGGCTGCAAAAATTATTGTATGCAGGAATAGGTACAACAAGTTAGGTACTAGTTTTGCACATGGTGAACAGTTCATTTTCACACCACTTAAACATTCAAGGGAAATGGCTTCGTTCATGATCTGGGGGGGAAAAAAAGCAATTAAGTGCACTGCGTGATGAGTGGCCCGTGACATACTCAAACAGGTTAAATTTGGAACAACAACCTCACTGCTGCAAGGTATCACTGGGGTTTTTATGAGGGCTTTATCTGTGTACCGCGTTCCACAAACTAATTAGTCTGTATTGGAAAATCTATTCATTGTTATGGTCCATGCGATAAAGGTCGACTTTCATAGCAACATCAAGAGGCTGGCTACACTCATTAAAGAAGAGGTTATGACCTTCGTGAAAATAATTAGCCCGATATCAATGTCACGGAAACATCAAGAGAAAGAAAGATCCAATTAGAGGAGACACAAGGCTTTCAGGATACATGACATGCGTGATAAAGCTACATGCCATAAATATTTGTTAGCAAATTACCTGAAACAATGATTACGGCACTCAAAGGCATACATACAAGTGCTATATTTGTGAGGACACAAATCTCCTAGCCCTTGAGGGTAGCATTAGCATTTAGCAGTTCTGACACGAATCTTTAAATCAAACCAGTCAATGAAAAT